TCATGATTTCCCCTTAGGATTGTTATTCTATCTCTATAACGAACTTTCAGAGCGACTAAGAGGCTGACAGTCTCTACTGAGTAGTAACCACGATCTGCACAATAAGATAAAACTACAAATCAATGAAAAAATCTGATATATATCTAAAAATTAAAAAAAGATGCATGAATATATAAGGTTTCTCACAACAGTTTAGAAGGAATACATTGCAAAGAGAACATAAAGCTAATCAAATTGGGAAAGAAACTGGTTCCAAATTTTTAGTGCAAGATTATAGTTTTCTTGACTCACATATTGAATCAGTAGTCACACTTTGGAGCCTATCTGATTAACCTTCCATATGGGAAGATATAATAACAATGTAGGTAAACACTTTATGCTCACTTATATTGAAAAATTCTGTTCGAGATTACAAAATTGAGCAGAAACAGTCCTTGGTCAGAGAACTTAAGACGATCCAACATTTTCATCCACTTCCTTCATTTTGTTTAGATACAATATCATCTACAAGAACAATTAATTTTCTCCACCTTGAAAATCACTTTCATCCTACAAAATGTCTTTCAGAATCAACTTCCTTCACATTTGGAGCCAACTTATTGAAGCAAGCAAATGATTTTCTTCTTTTGTGTTTACAGCACACACATGCTTTGATCTCCAACATATCATTGCACATTAAATTCTAAAATGCCATTGGTTGCAACCAGAATCAGAGTCTCTATGATCATCTCTCAGTACAAATTTAAAGTGTGATCTGACCTAAAATTAGAAACAAAAGGCTGTGCAGCGGAAACCAGGATTGGATCAAGGCCAAAATTGCAAATCCGACACAAACATAACAATATATTTGGCCGCTGTGGGACAAAATATAATAAATGAAATATAAAATATTTAGTACATGGATTCTTGTTTGGTGCTTGACACGGATACCCAGAGGTCAAGAGTTTGTGCAATAGAGGATAAGCTACAATGGTTCTCTCTCTCTATGTATTTACGTGTCCCATTTTAAACATGTTTGTGTTGATATATGAATTGTCAAATAACTTGTTAAAGAAAGCATATTCACTAACCATTCCAATTAACTATTATGATTCACATCCAACCACTCCATTCCAATTAAATATACATACTCATTGAAAAGCCTTTCATCTAGTAATAATAAGCACACCAACGCACATCCTTGACACCATATTACCCACCTAAAACTTCTTTTCGTTTGAAAAGAAGCTAAATTAACTCGGGCATCTCCTATTACCTTACTGACATCAATAATAAAACCCAACAAAAATAACAAAAAAACATTAATACGTTAAAATGAACATGAAAATGCCCGGTAACTGACCCACATAGTCGCCCATGAAGAGATAATTGGTGTCAGGGGCGTTGCCTCCGATGCGAAAAAGTTCAACAAGATCGTGGAACTGTCCGTGAATGTCGCCGCAGACGGTGACCGGACACTTGACGGGCTGCACGTTCCATTCCTCCACCAGAATCGCTCGCGCTTGCTCGCATAGGGTCTTCACCTCCGCTTCTGATAAAGGCTTGCACTGCAAAAGGTGCTCGATCTGACGGTCCAGATCGGCCTGCGACGGCATGGTTTCTCGAGATTTGTTTGGACGGGGTGTTATCGATGTTCTTCTGATGATCGAACGGTGGAGCGTGAGTAGGCAGAAGGAACAGTGAGATTCAGGTCATGGTGGATTTAGGGTTAGGGTTTGGAGAGAGAAATAAATAGAGAGAGAAAGCGGGGATGGGTTTGGCCCTGGAGCTCAGTTGTATTGTTGTGTTTTTGTATGTTGCAGTTAGAGCATTGTTTTGTTATCAGAATGGAGGATTTTTATGGTGGTCCCTAAACTTTTCTATATTTTAATTTCTTCTTCTATTTTTATTTATTTGTACTTTTACCCAAACAAGTATTTTTATGAAGTATTAACATGTAGAAAATCTGAAGGAGTGGAACATAAACCTCTTGACAGGTAAAAAGAAAAGGTTAGAGGGCTGTCTCAGTATAAAAAAAATAAAAAAGTACAATCATGTGGACAAGTGCGCTAAGACAAGAGGCGAAGGTGGTGGCGCTGATGACCCAAGCGTGCGCCTACAGCTACTCTACACCATCGCCACTCACAGTCACATCTAGTCTCAACTACTACAACAAACTCACTTCCAATCATCCATCCTTCATCTCACCGCGCTCTTTCGTCTCCATCATGAATAACAACAGCACTAACCCTCCTCAACAACCACATCTGGATTCCATTTTCAAGCAAAAACGGGTCCTCCGATCCAAAGTCCGCCAGACCCTCAAGTCTATGGACCCTTCTCTTCGATCCCATGAAGGTCAGCTCATTTTCAACCTCATCGTTAATGCTATATTTTCGTAGTTTAAATTAAGCTGTTGGATTTTTTTATATGTTTGGAATTGATGTTGTTTTGTTTCCAGATAATGCAATTCAGAACATTGTTCTGGAAGCTCCGTGGTTTAAGTCTTGTCAGAGATTATGTGCCTATATAAGTTGCACTGCTTTGAGAGAAGTTAGCACTTCTAAATTGTTGTCTGAAATTTTGCAAACTCCACCTAAAGGTCTGTTTTTTTTTTTTTTTATTACTGTCATAAGTACTTGTATCATTGAGATGCTAAATGGTTGTGAAATATGACTTGGGAATTTGATTTTTGTAAGAGATGGAATGACTATAATCAATTTGTATGATTTGAATTCAGAATTTGATGTTGATCGATNACCGAATTAACAAGTGTTTTAGGACTTGTAATTCCTTGTCCACTCATGTTTACAAGTGTTTTAGGACTTGTAAACGTATCATAGCCCCTGGCCGTTTTCCATGTGGGGGATCGATCTTATCGACCCCATGCCAGTCGGAAAGGGAGGGGTCAAGTATGCCGTGGTCACGGTAGATTACTTCACGAAATGGGTGGAAGCCGAACCACTAGCCGCGATCACGACCAAAAAGCTGAAAGACTTCGTTTTCAAGAGCATAGTGTGCCGCTACGGAATTCCTCACACCCTCATCTCGGATAATGGAAAGCAATTCGATAATGAGGAGTTCAAGCAGTTCTGCGACGAGCTGGGCATCCATAAAAAATTTGTCTCAGTCGCCAGACCGCAAGCGAATGGCCAAGTTGAAGCAGTCAACAAGACCATCAAGCACACTCTAAAGGCCAAACTTGGGGCAGCCAAGGGGAATTGGGCTGACGACCTCCTCGAAGTCTTATGGGCGTACAGGACAACTCCAAGAACTTCCACTTCAGAGACCCCTTTTTCGCTAGCCTATGGCTGCGAGGCGATGATCCCTGTAGAAGTGGGAACTAGTTCTCTTCGGAGGGACTTGTATGACGAGGTTGAAAACGAAGCACTTATGAGGGCAAGTTTGGATCTCGTTGAAGAGCATTGCAGCAAGGCTTCGCTAAGGATAGCAGCCTACCAGCAATGAGCAAATAGGTTTTTCGATTCAAAGGTCAAGCGAAAAGACTTCTAGGTCGGAGACCTTGTGCTAAAGGAAGTTCTCCTTGGGACCAGAGAACCGAGTGCAGGGGTACTGGGACCTAACTGGGAAGGGCCATACCGGGTCAACAAGGTGATCAGGCCGGGGACTTACCATCTCAAAAGACTGAACGGTTCTAAAGTACCCCGAGCTTGGAACGCCGAACACCTCCGACCCTACTATCAGTAATCGCGAACTCAGCTCTCAATCAGTTTATGTTAATTTCATTTCTAATGTAAAGCTTAATTTTGTTCGCTGGAGACAGTTCGTATGTGTTCTGTTCGCGTGTAAGAATTCACATGTAATATTGCTTATGCAAATTGAATATTAAATTGAACTTGTATGAAAAAGCGAACTGCAATTGAAAAGAAAGTGTCTTCATTTATGTACAAACAAAAGTTAGACCCAATTACGATGGGGTCGACTCATTACACTACGGCTGGTCGGGGGGATCCTTCGAACCAGAACCCCCTGCCTGGTCGTGTCGTTGGGCGGCCACGGCTACCTAATCGTCCTCCTCAGCCATGATCCGCAAAGCCTCACGCCACCCCTCCGGGAGATCAGAAATGTCCATAGCTGGGTTCCTTAATCGGAGGGAATAAATGGACCCGATCGCCCAGTCGGCGGCCTTTTCCTCCAGCTCCTCTGACTGATTCCGCATTTCTTCAGTCAGTGAAGCGATCCTTTCACGACTCTTCTGGAGTTCAGCCTCAAGAGCTCGCTTCTCCTGTTCGGAGGCCTCCTTTTCCTGTTCAACTCGCTGGGCCATACGGAGGTCGCTTGGATCTCCTAGTCCTTCTCCCCGACCACTTTGGAGAGCCTGGCGGTTGTCCTTTGGAGTTCCTTCACATCCTCCACGCGTCGCTCAAGCTCCGCCTTTTGAAGTCCACTGTTCGTAAAGCAGCATCCTTTTGGCTCAGATATCTGTTCGCCGCATCAAATGCTTGTGTTCTTTCAGCTTCGGCGGACTCTAGGCTTTTCTTGAGCTTCGCGACCTCTTCCTGTAGGTCGCTGGACCCCTTCGCAGCTCCCAGCCGAGTCCTCTCCATAGACATCCTCATCGCAAGTAGAGCCTGCGAGCACGAAATGGTTAGAAATGAACCAGAACAAAATTTTAAGAACAGCTCGTTTACCTTGCTTAGATGCTTGAACGACGTGGTCATCAGGTCATCGCCCGTGTCAGCGAACTCATCGTAAGACTCCGATAGTCCACACTCGAGCAGAGAATAGAATATCGACTACAGGTACTCTGGCAGGCTCCCCAGCGAGTCCAGCACTGGTATGTCCTTCGCCTTGTCGGAGGTGATCGCCTCACTCGCAGGTTCCTTGCCCGACCTCCTTGAGTCCCTTCGCGACCTCAAGGGCTCCTCCTCGGATTCGGTCTCAGACTCTTCAGCCTGAACCTATTTCCTCTTCTTCGACCTTTGGGCCGGGGCTTTACGCCTTAGGCGTGCCGGTGGTGCCTGAGCGACCTGTTCTGCCCTGGTCACTTCATGCACAGGGGGGCTATGAAGGTGCAGCAGTTTGCACCGGTTGTGCATGAATGGGACGAGCAGCTTCGGCCGCTCTCTCCCTCCTCGATCGAGGGAAGACAAACGGAGCTCGACGGGGCTGCTCAGATTCCTTCGGGGGCATAGTTTCTGCATGCAAGTGCGTTAGTAAACAAAATTGCTCCGCGACCAGGACGGGAATCAACGTAACTTACCTTCCAAGGCTTCGAAAGACGCTTTGTCGCTGAAAAAACCGTACTTCCGCAAGTTCGCGGTTGTCACGAGCTTCCTCGCATCCCGGCTCTCCTCGTCTAGTACTCCAAAAGATACGAGCCTATCCGGGTCGTCAAGTAAGTCTTGGCTAGTCGTTCTGTTAACTGCAAAAGAATACAGGTCGTTATTATAGAGCATGCGAACAGATAATATGCCTCACGAGGAATAACCTACTTGGTGTCTAAAAGCGGCAGTGGCCGTCATAGCAGAAAAAGAAGAATTTCGTCTCGTAGGCCCCCGCGTTGCTGGGATAGCTATGTATCCCCTCGCGATGGTAGGTTGCCGGGACAAGTAGTATGAACCTTGTCCACTCTTTTTTGAGGTAATAGCGCACGCCGAGCTCCCTGCCGTTGGCTCACCCAACCGCTTTCGCAGCACGCGATGTATATCGCGACAGCGATGACATACGCATTTGGCGTGAGTTGCATCGGTGCGATCCCGAAGTGATCCAGGACCAACTGATGAAAATGAGGGGAATCGTCCCTCACCCTTGAGATCTCTTCGGAGATCGCGACAAGGCCATCGAAGGGCCGTGCCGACCTGGATGCTCAGGAACACCCCCGCACGGACCGTCAAACTGCTTTTATATCCTATTAAGTTCTCTTTGGTGAGAACCGAGAAGACTCAAGGGATGCATCCTCGGGAACGTCCCGCGGGACGAGCTGGCCGCTTCCTCGGTTTGGACGTTGACGAATCCATTCCAGAGTCTGCAACATCGACAGACACGTCTTTAGGCCTTCATGTTTTGTCCCGTGCGGTGGCAGGGGACAAATTCCTAAACCCTAATAGTAACTTGAGCCACCACCCACGGCTCGATTCCGCACAAGTGGCGCGTCTCTGGTGGAACGCCAGGAAACCCAACGCCGTTGCCCACCAACCAAAAAAAAAAAAAAAAAAAAAAAAAAAAAAAAAAAAAAGAGAATCTTACCTTCTGGGATGCGTAATCGAGGCCGAAACTCGTTTCAGTTGCCTGAGAAGCGCCGATCGGAAAAGGATAATTTCTGGTTTGCAAAGGCTTGACACTCGAAGCAAAAGGGGTTTTCGTGACCTCATCTGAAAAATGTGAGTTTTTATATGGATTGCGAATCGACGGTTACCACTTCTCCGAATCGAAACCACAGCCTCCTCTCTCTCCCCGCATTTAATGCGCCCACGTCGCATTAAATGTCGTGATGGGAGTCGTCGTTTCAAGTGCGTCGTGCAATCAGAGCTGTCGAAACGACGCCGAGTCAGCGCAGCGCATTTAATGTTTCTGGCAGACACTGCAGCGCGTGCAGAGCGCCTGACAGCGTGGATACAGGTTCATTGAATCTCTCCAAGGCACGTAAAAGAGCGCCCAACGAATCCAGGTCGTTAAAATGACGATTCTCAGGTCGTTTGGGCGAGAACTGTGCGAGGTCGTGTTCGCCGAAGGTCATGTCCCGAGCTTCTTCTATTCAGGTCGGAACAACCAAAACCTCCAACCGCGGCATGACTTAGTTTCCAAGATTCGACCCTCAAACCTTACAAACTAGGGAGCTTCTGTTATGACTAAGAAATCAAAGGCTGACGTGGAGTTGCGTGACGAAACGTGGCATGCTCCCATCAGAACGGTAAGCGCACGTCAGGCCTGCCAAACGTCCTGGTGCGCCCACGTGTCCGCTAACCTGCTCCGAATCGCGTGAAATCGACTTGGAAAATGGGTAATGGGATGTAAAATCAGATTAGATCCTGACAATCACACCAACCCAAGGATTTAGTGATGATTACGCACATTCAATTGGGTATAAGAAGAGGAAGACCCCTTCATTAAGGGGATTCGACAATTTTACACAAAAACTCTCTCTCTCTCTCACGCTTTTGTATTTACTTCCCAATCTTTTGTAAGTTAGTCCGCTGTTGCGACTTGACCCACACTATCAATATCAATACAAATCAGTGGACGTAGGATTTGCTACCTTAGCATCCGAACCACTTTAAAAGCTCTCATAGCATTTATTTCACTTTTTATATTCATTATCACGCGTGCTTTTCGACCAATCAACGCCACGCACGTGACAATTAGTTGGTGCCAAAATCAAGTATCAACAATAATTAATATTAGAAACCCCCAATTTCAACAATCTACACTTAGACTGGGCTTGATTTCTTCTCTTTAACCAATTAAATTGCTATAGACCATGTCAACTGTGGAAAAACAAAGTAATCATTCTGGTCTTTATCTTCAGCCAGGGACCATCTGTTAAGTCTACGATTTTAATCTTTTATAGTGCCAAACCAAAGTCAGAAACCAGCTAATCTCAACCGCAAGTTTCCTTTGCTATATTTTACTAAATACAAAGTAACATAGTTCAAATTTTTCCAGTACTAATAGGAATATATAAGGATCCATGATCTTCCATCCATCACAACATCCTGGAATTATCTTATCTTAAACTATCTGGCCATTTTGTTCAACATACACCACCAATATGTTTTCTTTATCAAGCCCACCCTTCCAACTCTTATGTTGCCTAATAGTGTTATTCATTCTCCCTCTTCCTTCACGTTCGGCCGATCCTGATCCTTTACAGGACTTCTGTGTTGCATACTTGAATTCCTCCGTATCAGTTAATGGCTTCCCCTGCAAACCTGCTGAACAAGTAGTTTCGGATGATTTTTTCTTCGATGGGCTGCGCAAATAGGGAAACACATCAAATATCTTCGGAGCGACAGTGACTTCAGCTAATGTTTTCACGTTTCCAGGGCTCAGTACGCTGGGGCTTTCAACGAACCGAGTAGACTTTGCCCCCGGTGGAATCAACCCACCTCATTCACACCCCCGTGCATCTGAGACTGGTGTTGTGATTGTAGGAAAGCTGCTGGTAGGATTTGTAACAGGTGACAACGTGTTTCACTCAAAGGTTTTGAGTCCTGGGGAGATGTTTGTGATTCCAAGAGGACTGGTTCACTTCCAACTAAACGTCGGGGAAGGAAAGGCTCTTGCTTTTACATCTTTCAACAGTCACTACCCTGGTGTTGTGATTTCTTCCACAAGTCTCTTCGGTTCAACGCCGTCAATTCCTAATGCGGTGTTGACCAAAGCCTTCCAGGTGGGAGATGATGTAATCAATGGCATCAGATCCAAGTTTGGTTCTTAACCATTTCTCAACTTCATGCATTTTCAAGATTGTTTCATGTTAATTTGCTTCTTCACCATCCTTCAACCTCTCAGAAGTGATGGATCATTTATTGTTTTATAATAATAAATCATTGCGACTGCAGTAGTCTGTCAACGTATGTATGTGTACTGAACAGTGNCATAGTACATTTCTTAGATCATAATTGGGGTTTACAACAAAAATTGATGGGTTTTAAACCATTATATGAAAAACATAGTGCTGAAACTATTTATTTTACAATTCTTGAAATTTTGCAAGAATATTTATTAACTAATAGAGTTGTAGCGCTAACACTTGGTAATGCAACTCCTAACACCGTGGCAATCTCTTTATTTGAAAAGAGATTGGATCTGCATGTTGAAGGCAATTTTTTTCACCAGAGATGTGCTTGTCACATCATCAATTTGATAGTTAAAGCAGGTTTAGATGTTATACATTCGAAGATGGAGAGGGTGCACGTGGCTATCGGATTTACGGTAGCAATAAAAGATGGCAGGAGTACGTCAAATATTTTAAGCAAGAGGACCCACCGGTTCAACTTTTGAAGTTATGTACGGACATGCCTATCCGTTGGAACTCCACCTACTTGATGTTGGAAAAAGTTTTTCCAACCGCAAAACAAATTACAGATTTCGTTAATCGAAAGCACTATCCAAAGGAAATTGTCAGCTATGATGATTGGGCAGATTGTGAACTTTTTTAATTCATTTCTTAAATTTTTTTATGATTCTACTAATACATTAAGTGGTATTTATTATCCGACTACTAATTTAGTGTTAGATATTTTACTTCAAGTTGCTAAAACTTTTGCTAAATATAGATATAATAATGTTTGAGGGAAATTGTTTTAAAGATGGAAGAAAAATATGAGAAATACTGGTTATATATTCCATTCTTATATCGATTAGGCCTTGTTGTAGTCCTAGGTTTAAATTACACGTAGTTAACTGTAAAATTACTGAGTTAGGCCAGCATTTAGGACATGATTATATGTCTTATTTAACTGATTTTAAACAAAAATTGGATAGCCTTTTTTCTTTATATGGGAACAAGTACAATGAAAGTAGAAGTGGAACGTTCAAAAGAGATGATCAGGACCCTGATGCAGACCTCCGTCAAGGATCAAGCAAGTGGACGTATATGGCGGAAGTACCAGCTCCAGCTCGTACATATATGGACCAAATGAGCTAAATCGCTACCTACAAGTGGACCTATCCTTTAAGATGATGAAGGAGAAACGTGACATGGATATTCTTCAGCGGTGGAACCAACATGAAAGTTGATTCCCCATTGTAGCCCAAATGGCACGTGCCATTTTATCTGTACCGGTTTCTACAATTGCATCCGAGTCAACATTTTCAACGAGTGACTGGATTAATGAAGACAGAAGATGTTCTTTAACCGATGAGATGATTGAAGTGATAACGTGTTTATGGGATTGGACTCATGCAGAAAGAATACTACAACGACACCCTGAAGATCCCGAGCTACTCAAACTTTTTAGGAATACAGATTTGAATGATGTAAATATTGTTGACGATGAAGATGAATAATTTAATAAAAAAATTATTTAATTGTTTATTTGTGAAGCGTGAATGTGTGAAATGTGAATATTACATTTATGTTAAAATTAACTATTAATTTTTTTTATTTTTTTATTTTTAAAATTAATTAAACTTTTAAAAACTTACTAATTTACCCCTAAAAAATACTNTTGGATCCGCATGTTGAAAGCAAATTTTTTCACCAGAGATGTGCTTGTCACATCATCAATTTGATAGTTAAAGCAGGTTTAGATGTTATACATTCGAAGATGGAGAGGGTGCACATGGCTATCGGATTTACGGTAGCAATAAAAGATGGCAGGAGTACGTCAAATATTGTAAGCAAGAGGACCAACCGGTTCGACTTTTGAAGTTATGTACGGACATGTCTATCCGTTGGAACTCCACCTACTTGATGTTGGAAAAAGTTTTTCCAACCGCAAAACAAATTACAGATTTCGTCAATCGAAAGCACTATCCAAAGGAAATTGTCAGCTATGATGATTGGGCAGATTGTGAATTTTTTAATTCATTTCTTAAATTTTTTTATGATTCTACTAATACATTAAGTGGTATTTATTATCCGACTACTAATTTAGTGTTACATATTTTACTTCAAATTGCTAAAACTTTGCTAAATATAGATATAATAATGTTTGAGGGAAATTGTTTTAAAGATGGAAGAAAAATATAAGAAATATTGGTTAGATATTTCATTCTTATATCGATTAGGCCTTGTTGTAGTCCTAGGTTTAAATTACACGTAGTTAACTGTAAAATTACTGAGTTAGGCCAACATTTAGGACATGATTATATGTCTTATTTAACTGACTTTAAACAAAAATTGGATAGCCTTTTTTCTTTATATGGGAACAAGTACAATGAAAGTGGAAGTGGAACGTTCAGAAGAGACGATCAGGACCCTGATGCAAACCTCCGTCAAGGATCAAGCAAGTGGACGTATATGAAACATGGCGAAAGTACCAGCTCCAGCTCGTACATATATGGACCAAATGAGCTAAATCGCTACCTACAAGTGGACCTGTCCTTTAAGACGATGAAGGAAAAACGTGACATGGATATTCTTCAATGGTGGAACCAACATGAAAGTCGATTCCCCATTGTAGCCCAAATGGCACGTGCCATTTTATCTGTGCCAGTTTCTACAATTGCATCCGAGTCAACATTTTCAACGAGTGGCTGGATTATTGAACACAGAAGATGTTCTTTAACCGATGAGATGATTGAAGTGATAACGTGTTTACGGGATTGGACTCATGCAGAAAGAATACTATAACAGCACCCTGAAGATCCCGAGCTACTCAAACTTTTTAGGAATACAGATTTGAATGATGTAAATATTGTTGACGATGAAGATGAATAATTTAATAAAAAAAATTATTTAATTGTTTATTTGTGAAGCGTGAATGTGTGAAATGTGAATATTACATTTATGTTAAAATTAACTTTTATTTTTTTATTATTTTTTTTTTAAAAATTAATTAAACTTTTAAAAACTTACTAATTTACCCCTAAAAAATACTAGAAACCCCCTACAAATTTTGTTTAACCCCTAAAATATAAAAAAAAAAAAGATCAGGGGGAAAAATAAAATTTTCAGACGCAAAGTACCAGTCCTGGGTCCTTAGGACCATAGGACCAGTCCTAAGGACCAGTCTCTAGGTCCTAAAATTACTCATGCATCTTGACATCTCTATCACTGTCTTATTCTTCCTTTCACTCACTCCACTTTGTTGAGGAGTGTAAGGACAGCTATACTAATCCAACGACTAATTCTTAAATAAGCTACGACGTATGTCAAGTCATTCACAACTGCTACGAAAGAAGAAGACCACGTTCCAATTTCCATGACTTGCTCGCATTGCATCTTAGAATGCTTCAGATTCACATATCCTTACATATTGCAGCTTAATTCCCCACATTTTCAAACTCTATAGTTAATATTAGAAACCCCCAATTTCAACAATCTACACTTAGATTGGGCTTGAAATCTTCTCTTTAACCAATTAAATTGCTATAGACCATGTCAACTGTGGAAAAATAAAATAATCATTATGGTCTTTATCTTCAGGCAGGGACAATCTGTTAAGTCTACGATTTTAATCTTTTCTAGTGCCAAACCAAAGCCAGAAACCAACTAATCTCAACCAACAAGTTTCCTTTGCTATATTTTAATAAATACAAAGTGACATGGTTCAAATTTTTCCGGTACTAATAGGAATATATAAGGATCCATGATCATCCGTCCATCACAACATCCTGGAATTATCTTACCTTAAACTATCTGGCCATTTTGTTCAACATACACCACCAATATGTTTTCTTTATCAAGCTCACCCTTCCAACTCTTATGTTGCCTAATAGTGTTATTCATTCTCCCTCTTCCTTCACGTTCGGCCGATCCTGATCCTTTACAGGACTTCTGTGTTGCAGACTTGAATTCCTCCGTATCAGTTAATGGCTTCCCCTGCAAACCTGCTGAACAAGTAGTTTCGGATGATTTTTTCTTCGATGGGCTGCGCAAAGAGGGAAACACATCAAATATCTTCGGAGCGACAGTGACTTCAGCTAATGTTTTCACGTTTCCAGGGCTCAATACGCTGGGGCTTTCAACGAACCGAGTAGACTTTGCCCCCGGTGGAATCAACCCACCTCATTCACACCCCCGTGCATCTGAGACAGGTGTTGTGATTGTAGGAAAGCTGCTGGTAGGATTTGTAACAGGTGACAACGTGTTTCACTCAAAGGTTTTGAGTCCTGGGGAGATGTTTGTGATTCCAAGAGGACTGGTTCACTTCCAACTAAACGTTGGGGAAGGAAAGGCTCTTGCTTTTACATCTTTCAACAGTCACTTCCCTGGTGTTGTGATTTCTTCCACAAGTCTCTTCGGTTCAACGCCGTCAATTCCTAATGCGGTGTTGACCAAAGCCTTCCAGGTGGGAGATGATGTAATCAATGGGATCAGATCCAAGTTTGGTTCTTAACCATTTCTCAACTTCATGCATTTTCAAGATTGTTTCATGTTAATTTGCTTCTTCACCATCCTTCAACCTCTCAGAAGTGATGGATCATTTATTGTTTTATAATAATAAATCATTGCGATTGCAGTAGTCTGTCAACGTATGTATGTGTACTGAACAGTGAATAAGAAGAATAAGATTAAATAAAGCTTTTGTTAATCTCATGGAAGTGTTAGTATCAGTAGCTCAATTGAAAATTCTATTGTTTTCCCCCTTTTAAGTGCCAGTTTGCTCATTTAAGCTATAATACGAACACACAGCCAATCTACTTGTTATGGCAATGACTTGATTCAAAGATACATATCATACAGATTTTTTTATACACTGGTAAAATAACCCCACATAAATTATTTTTTTATTTTTTCGCAAGACAAAGTAATTTCTTCAATAAACACAATCTTTCAGATACTGTTCCAAGAACTGAATTCAGATAAGTTTTGCTTAAGAACTGATTAATAGAGTACAATCGTATCCAGTCAGATAATAGGGCTCTCATCAGAACATTATTTTACCCACATCTCGAGATCTAACCAACTGATTATTTCTCTCTCACTAGAATGAAGAGAAAAATCCTATCCTTCCAAAGAGGTTGAATTTTTTCAATTCTTAGAAATTTTATAACATTGCAGTAGTATCAAAGAATCACACAAGAAGACCAGTTCTCAATAACTACCAATTCTTCACGCGATTAGTTGAAAACTACTTCATATGAATCATTTGATTGTAAATGACTAAACGTCTACTAAATTAAGCATAAATAACTTGGTTATTCTATGTGATGTTCACTGGAATTGATTTGGTTCTTGAAACAGTCAACAAACATCTAAATTGCACTCTTAGTTCATTTCTATTTGCCAGAAAGATTTGGTAAGAGAAGTACTAAATTCAAATTCCAGTACGGCAGTATCAATGATCACCATGTAACCTCAAACATCAAAACAATTTCACATTATTGGAGTCAATTGCTTTTATAATAAAGAAATTATTAAGCAATCAGTCAGCATCAATAGGCTTACATCTTTTGAATGAAATCCCTCAACGGTAGGATTCAGGCTCACCCTCGAATTGACGGCTTCTAACTTCATTGATAGGAACTACAAGAGTGAAAAAAATAATTAAATTATTGTTTACCAGCTTAAAGAAGAAAATGTCATATGGCTACAGACACATAAGATGGGATATCTACACCTCAACCTGCTGCTGAAGTGACTGGATGTAGTTAATTATCTCATCAAGGACAAGTGCTTTTCCAATAACCTGATTGTGAGCAACCATTTATTAATAGATGATTACCAAGTCAAATGAGATTGCAGATTGGACTTTATTAAAATAGATGACAAAAAAACTTACAGTGAATTCATAATAATTTCTTCCTAAGAATAAGTTGAGACTAGCCAAAGAAACTGATATGTAAGTAGTTAGACAACTGAAGATACCTTGTTACATCCAGGGGCCAAATCCTGGAGAATCTTCATCCTCTCACTAATTTTTTCTCTCCTAGCCTGCAGAAAGGTAAGTATGTTCCTAGTTAACAAATTATACTGTTATACCATTAGTGTTCCAAACCAGAATAACCAAAAATGAAAATAAACATGTTAACAGTTTCATATCTAGCAGTGTAAATGGTATATTAACCACATGGAAGCATCAGATATTATTATACTAGGTGCACAATGATGTAATTTGGAAAATCGAGAGGATTGAAGTGAATTACTCTCTGTGCTAGACTATGGCTATCAGTAGCTTGGCCTCTTCTTGCTCTCACATGAATATAATCTTTTGGTGGCTCCGCAGGTTTATTGCTTTGATCAGCTGACTTGTTACCAGCCGCAGAACTTGCTTCAGCCTCAGCTTTTGAACCACCTTTTTCATTTTTAGATCCTGATATTTTCGTTCGTTTACCATTGGATTCATTCTGCAGCAAACATAAGAAAAATCAACATAAAGAAAATATAGAATTTCCTTTATCCAGAATCGAAATCAAGTGAGATTTCACACATGGTCAAAAATAACATATTCTGAATTTGAAGGAGAACCAAAGAACCTATATTTTGAGACACCTATAAGGTCACAGTTAACTAGATATATCACATAGTTATATATAGAACCATATTTGGTTGGGCTTCTCAAAAAAAAAAACTCATTCCTGATAAAAGCTTTGTACAGTAGTGCTTATAGAATTATAACTCATGATGGCATTATAGAGGCAAGATACAAAATAAAATTCTTAAATATGGCTTCAGGCGAAGGAAACCCATCACCAGATTCCACTGCAAATATTGATGTTCTTATTTAAGAAAACAATATTGCAAAGAAACTCACTACTTTGAAGCATAATATGTTTAATGAGTTTTAAAAGTGTTTTTTAAACATTAATTTCTCATGACAACTTCGGCCTTCAGTAACAAGAAACGATATTCCTGAGGCTTATATGCCTTATTTGTTGGTTATTGGAGCATGTAAATGATAGTTACACGGGAGAGAAAAAGGAAGGAAGAGATAAGAGAGAGGAAGACTTGTATTCTATATATGCATTCACCAAAAACATCAAAGTTTATGCATTGTAATCCTACTGTTGTACCTAACATAAAACATATTTTAATCCCAAAATACATCTTAATCATACATCTTTAGCAATGATAAGAGCTTGAAAGTATATATTTTGTTAGTGATTTAATTTGATTATTTGTGGAAAAATGTGTTTAAATTGTGGAATTTGAATTAATTATTTCATAAATACCTTTTACGGAATCACGGGTGTATTTTGAATATTTTCAGGTTCAAACCAATATGTGAAGGAAAAAGAATGATGTCAATGGAATTTATGACATGTAGGAACAAACGGTGCAAGAATCGGAGTTGAAACGACAAAGTTGTGACGCGTAGAAGATACAACGTAAAATCTGGAAATTCTTCAAGATGAGCATACTTCGCTGTTTGGATCATAACTTGAGCTGTAGAAATCAGAATTTGACGATTCTGGTGGCGTTGGAAAGCTTATTCAGAGAGCTACAAAGTTTGTGTTGATGACTTTACCAAATTCTGAAGATCACAGACTCATTGAACAGAAAGAACAATCACCGCAGCGATGTTTATCATCGCCGCAGCGATGGGTCACGAGCCTGTTTGGGTTATTGCATTCTCCTAATCCGAATTTGAGGGGGTTAAGGATTTTAATTCTTTTCCTAAGTAACCTGAAAACCATAGCACTACAAATAAGGATTTTTAATTAGTTTTAAAGGGGATTTGAAGGAGGAGAAAGGACGGCTACTACTTTGGAGATCAGAATTCTTGCGATTCTCGTTCACAAATTAGAGAAGTTTTTCTATTTTTATTTCTTGAACTCATGTTATTAAATACAATGGTTGTTTTTATTACTATAATTATGAACTAAATCTCTTTTCTATGGCTAAAGATGTAGCCCAATTTATGAATATGTGTTGATTTAATTTGTTGTTAATTCTTATTGAGCATTTAATTCTAAGTTTTATTATTGTGCATAATACTTTCAATTCTTAAGGATCCGAGATTTGAATGATATCATGGGTTAGGTTGAGATCGAGAGATGAAACCTGATTTGTCTAAGGTAATAAAACCATAGATTGAGCAAACGCTAGAGGTAGGTTATCGCAATCTGTGAGGCTCTGGTAAATTCTATAGAACTTAATGATCTCTTAACTCCTAAATCCAACTTAGAGATATTTTGGGTTGTTGCTTAAGGGTTAATTTGCTAATTTTTCGAGAGAAAGTTAGTGGAATATCAGGGAATTTGGCCTTTAGAATAAGCTTAATTAGGTTAACAATAATTGTCAATGCATATGATTAAATTGGTATAAAATTTGTGCCTTAGGTTTAGTCGTATTGATTTGTTTACTGTAGTATTAATAAAATTCTGCCTTTGTTTAATTTTTAGTTTGTTATCCTTTTAATTAAATTCATTCTTAAAATTCTGGTTCATCAAATAGCAATAAAATGGACTAGTTTGGTACTTGGTAGGTAGTTCTCTTGGGATTCGACACTCGTTTACTCGAGCTTTATTACTTGCGCGATTTCGTACACTTGCGAATAGCCTGTCAAGCAACTCGATTTACATCACATTAACTTGATATAAAGTGGGCAGCCTAATGTATGCTGAATTCACCAAAAACACTCACTTCAGCATGCCTACAAATCAGCTACGGTGAACAGCTCCCAGACCAACTTTACCACTTCAAATTCTGCCCTTTTGCCGCCAGCTTCTAGCTTCAGTCTAATAATCAAAAATATTTGTTTCAAGCAAAATATCATTACTTTGAACACTCCTCCTTAATATTTTTGCTTGAGACACCAAGTTTAAGTTTAAGATCTTCAAACTTGGATTTACATAAAGCCTTTGTAAAGATGTCAGCCAATTGAACTTCTCCCCTACAATGAGTCAATCTGATTTCCCTGCATTGCTCAGCCTCCCTCACTGTATAAAACTTGATTTTTATGTGCTTAGTTCGACCATGCATGATTGGATTCTTTGCCATAGCAACAGCCGATTGATTATCACAAAAAATTTCAGTAGGCTCACATTGTTTTACCTCCATATCATTCAACATATTCCTCAACCATATGGCTTGATTTACTGCAGCAGCAGCTGATATGTATTCAGCTTCTGTAGTGGATTGAGCCATTGTTTCTTGCTTCTTGGAAGACCATCAAAAAGCTCCACAATTCAGCAGGAAAACATACCCTGATGTGCTTCGCATGTCATCACAAGAGCCTCCCCAATCACTGTCTACATAGCCCACCAATCTGAAGTTTTCAGACTTCCTGAACCGGATTCCATGATCTGTTGTTCCTCTGATAAACCTCAGCACTCTCTTGGCTGATTTAAGATGCTCCTCACTTGGTTTGCTCATAAATCTTGATAGGAACTAGTGGCAAACATTAGATCAGGTCTTGTTGCTATTAAATACAACAAACTCCCACTCAACCTTCTATAATTAGTTTCATCCACAAGGGCTGCTCCATCCTCTTTACACAACCTTTGATTTTGCACCAAAGGTATGCCAACAGACTTACATTCATCCATCCCAAACTTCTTCAGCATCTCATTAGCATATTTCCTTTGACATATAAAAATGTCATTTTGTGATTGATGTATTTCCATTCCAAGAAAATAAGTCATCCCTCCCAAGTCAGTCATCTCAAACTCTTTGTGCATTGCCTTCTTAAACTCTTCAACCTCAATAGCATTGTTTCCTGTCACCAGCAAATCATCTACATATAAGGAAACCATGATCACGTCTTCATTGACCTTCTTCACATACAAAGTATGCTCATTTGGACTCCTTGCATAACCTAGGCTGACCAGATAATCATCAATTCTGTTGTACCAAGCTCTTGGAGCTTGTTTTAAGCCATATAAAGCCTTCCTCAACAAATAGACCTTATCTTCTTTCCCTCTAACTTCGTGTCCCTCAGGTTGTTCAATAAAGATTTCTTCATCAAGCCAACCATTTAAGAAGGCCCACTTGATATCCATTTCATAAACTTTCCACTTGAATTGAGCTGCCAAAGTAAGGACTAACCTGATTTTATCATGTCTAGCAACATGTGCAAATGTGTCTTGAAAGTTTACACCATGTTGTTGTGCAAAGCCTTTGACAACAAGCCTAACTTTGTGCTTCAAAACTGAACCATCAAGGTTCAATTTTCTCTTGAATATCCACTTTACCTGGATCACTTTTCTCTCGACAGGTCTGTCCACAAGCTTTCATGTTCCATTCTTTTCTATCATGGATAGCTTCTCCTACATTGCAATTCTCAATTCCTCTAACTTGGCTACTTCTAAATAGGATGCTGGTTCAAGCATAGCTACATTACATCTCCCATAAATCTCAGCAAGATGTGTGGTTCCTCTGACTGAAGTTTCTTCTTCTGTATCAAAATTTGCCCCATCAACTTGGTCAGCAACTTGTTCTCTTTGTTGTGGCCTTGAATCATCTTGAATTTTCTTCTCCTCCTAATTCCAAACTGACCTCTCATCAACCTTCACATCCCTTGAAATCACTACCTTTTTAGACTTTGGAATATAAATTTTGTATGCCTTGGATTGGAGGTTGTAACCAACCAGAATTCCAGCCTTTGCTTTGTCATCAAGCTTAGATCTTTTGATGGCTGGTATGAGGATATAACATATACTCCCAAAGATTCTAAGATGATCCACTTGAGGCTTAACTCCATACCATGCTTCAAATGGAGTTTGATCTTTTAAAGCCTTGGTTGGAAGCCTATTCAACAAGTACACACTAGAGTTCACAGATTCTGCCCATAACTTCTTTGGCAGACTTTTTTCAGTTAGCATGCATCTTGACATCTCCATCACTATTATTCTTCCTTTCACTCACTCCATTTTGTTGAGGACTATAAGGATAGCTATACTAGTGCCATATTCCTGTATCCTTGCATATTGATTCAAACTTCCATGAAGTATATTCACCCCATTATCTCTTCTCACAGCCTTTATCCTTACACCAGCTTGGTTTTCAACTTGAGTTTTAAACCTCCTAAACACAGCAGCAACTTCACCTTTTTGTTTTAAAAAAATACACCCAAGTCATTTTTGAATAATCATCAATAAACAAAGTAAAGTACTTGGATCCACTTAGGGATGGGGTCTGCATTGGTCTACACATAGCAGTGTGTACCAATTGGAGCTTTTTAGTAGCTCTTCAGGCCTGGTTTGATGGAGAAATAGGTCTGCTAAGCTTCTATTTCCGGTAAGGTATGCACCATATTTTTTAGTTTCATTTGTCTAAGNTTAACTCCATACCATGCTTCAAATGGAGTTTGATCTTTTAAAGCCTTGGTTGGAAGCCTATTCAACAAGTACACACTAGAGTTCACAGATTCTGCCCATAACTCCTTTGGCAGACTTTTTTCAGTTAGCATGCATCTTGACATCTCCATCACTGTTATTCTTCCTTTCACTCACTCCATTTTGTTGAGGACTATAAGGATAGCTATACTAGTGCCATATTCCTGTATCCTTGCATATTGATTCAAACTTCCATGAAGTATATTCACCCCATTATCTCTTCTCACAGCCTTTATCCTTACACCAGCTTGGTTTTCAACTTGAGTTTTAAACCTCCTAAACACAGCAGCAATTTCACCTTTTTGTTTTAAAAAAATACACCCAAGTCATTTTTGAATAATCATCAATAAACAAAGTAAAGTACTTGGATCCACTTAGGGATGGGGTCTGCATTGGTCTACACATATCAGTGTGTACCAATTGGAGCTTTTTAGTAGCTCTTCAGGCCTGGTTTGATGGAAAAATAGGTTTGCTAAGCTTCTATTTCCGGTAAGGTATGCACCATATTTTTTAGTTTCATTTGTCTAAGGTCAACAAAATGATAATGATCATACATTTTATGTCATAGGTCTATGTCATCTAAATTCACTGTCATAGCTTGAAATTTTGATTTTTTTAGTTCAATTGGGAAGCTCTTCCCCACCATTTTTACATGCATCATCACATTTCCCTCATTATCTAATATTGTGCAGGATTTTCAAAGTGTAAAGTGTAATTTCTTTCAAGCATCTTTCTTATACTAAGCAAATTTTGATTGATTTCAGGAACAAACAACACATTAGAAATTATTTTTGTACCTATCAAGGTCTACGCAACCACATCTCCTCTGCCTTTAACCTTCACAAAGTCACCATTTCCCACCTTTACACTTTACTGGTATGATTGGTCTAGATTCACAAAATTCTCCAGATCAGGTGTCATATGATTTGTACATCCATTGTTAATCAGCCAAGCTCTAGCATTGGACTTAACAGCATAACAGGAAGCCACAAACAACTGCTCTGATTCTGTAGTTTGCCGCAAATCCTCAGCCGCCTATGCTTGCTGTGTTGGCTGGTGTGGTTTGATTTTGCAGACCTTTTCAATGTGGCCGAATTGCTTACATGCCCTGCATTAAACATTTAGTCTGAACCAGCATTTGCTCTTTGCATGGTTCTTCTTTTTGCAGTATGGTGCAAACTGCTGAAACCTCCTGGTTTATTCCACTGACTGCTAGCTCTCTCCTTTCCTCTTTTATCTCCAACAAGTCTCTTGTTTCCTCCTTGAGTTGGCTTGCCCTTTTGCAGGACAACCAATGCAACTTCACCACTGTCCTCCTGCCTTAACTTTCTTCTTTGCTCTTTCGCTTGAAGTGCATGAACAAGCTCAGTCAAGGTGATCTTAGACAAGTCCCTGGAATCCTCCAAAGAGGAGATTTTTTATTCAAACCTCTCGGGTAGGCTCACCAATACCTTCTCTACAATTCGTTTATCTGTTATCTCCTCCCCTGGCAGCCTTATCTTGTTAACCACATTCATTAATCTATCTACATACTCCTTAACCACTTCAGCTTCTTGCATTTTCAATGTCTCAAACTCTCTCCTTAAGTTCAAGACTTGCATATTTCGAGTTTGGCTACTTTCTCCAAATTCTTCCTTAAGCTTGTCCCAAGCTTCCTTTGCTGTCTCCAAGCCATTATCCTTGTGAAGACTTGATCCGTAACAACTGCATGTATATAGGACGAAGCTTTTGGAGCTTTTGCAGTCTCTTCTTCGTGGATTCTTATTTGATTCAAGATTGGATTTGGCCCCAACTGTGGCGGCTGCTTCTCTTCTTCTATGTATTGCCATAAACTCTGACCTCTTAGATAAGTCTTCATCTTAACAGCCCACATATGGTATTGTTCTCCATTGAAGGTTGGAGGTAGGAGTGAGGCGGAACCTGCTGCCATGAACTCTGGTTTTTGGTGTGGTGAGGACTAACTGAGTGAGTGCCAAAAATGAAGGTTTTTGCAGGCTCCTTAAGATCAAATGGAGCTCTGATATCAGTTGTTGGTTATTGGAGCACGTAAATGATAGTTACACGGGAGAGAAAAAGGAAGGAAGAGATAAGAGAGAGGAAGACTTGTATTCAATATATGCATTCACCAAAAACATCAAAGTTTATACATTGTAATCCTACTGTTGTACCTAACATAAAATATATTTTAATCCTAAAATACACCTTAACCATACATCTTTAGCAACTCGAATTACTTCACATTAACTTGATATAAAGTGGGCAGCCTAATGTATGTTGAATTCACCAAAAACAATCACTTCAGCATGCCTACAAATCAGCTATGGTGAATTGCTCCCAAGCCAACTTTACCACTTCAAATTCTGCCCTTTTGCTGCCAGTTTCCAGCTTCAATCTAATAATCAAAAATATTTGTTTCAAGCAAAATATCATTTCTTTGAACATTATTTAAGTATTGTAGACTAGGTTAAAATGTTGCTTAATTGCACAACATTTTAATGTTCTATTTGGGAATTTCGAATAGTGAGTTAGATTGTGGCATTAAAACTTAAAACAATACTAATTACAAATTTTGCTTAGCAACATTATTAATTTGTTTAATGGGCTTCAAGATATCCAACTATTTTCATGAGCACTTAGCGTTTTATATAGTTCAAAAGACTGCTGGGATTCAACAGGGTTTTTAGAATCACAGTAAAATATTATGCAATGTTCCCACAGAAGCAATGGCAATATTTAGAGATGTATAGGCTAACATTGTGACAGCAGCAGCACTACAACACAGGAAAACCATACGTCCTAATATCAACATCA